TTCATACAAAAAGCAGGGGGCCGGTCCGAGAACCTTTTATTGGAAGCTCCCAGCGTTATAAAAGTAGACTTTGGTATTGGCTATTTTAAAATTTGGACATACCTATTTCAAACTTCTATCATATCATATCCTTTAGTAAACTACGTTTAAATTAACCGAAATCAAACCCTTCTTTTTGAAGGCAGTTAATTAAAATAGTGAAACCTTCTCTTAAGTGTAACAAACACTTTTCTGAATACTGTATCAAAAACGGTTCAGCCAATCGCGTGATAATTACACACAAATATACATGCATTTTTTTTTTAAGGGGGGAAAATCATCGAATGACTGCTCCCGCCTGGGTGAGGCGGAAGGGAGTGTCAGACTCTTACTGACTAAAAACCACTCCGTTCCTTCTCCTGCACGTCGAGCCGGAGCCCCGGTTACCCGTTAGGTTCTCCGCGACAAATATACATGCATAAACACAGGTCAAACTGAAAACCTTTTTTCTTTTTGAAGTCGGTTAATAAAATACTTACGAAAATAAAGAGAAATTCTTTAAAACATGATGTACTAGTATAGTATAGTTTCCACTCGACAGTGCTACCACTCATCATAACTATAGCAGCGTCATTAGATTTGAAAATAATTGTATGAATCATAAATTTAGAAATTAACCAATGGTGTACTACAGACAAGTAGTTAAAGTTAGACCCTTATTTTGTATAGTTGACTGGCTCGTTGGCCGAGTGGTCGTATGTGCGACTGCCAGACAAGGGGTCTCGGGTTCGATTCCCGGGTCGGGCAAAATATTACTGGGTTCTTAAAAAAATCTCAGTAGTAGCACGGAGTCTGGAATTGTGTATGTGGCAATAGACTCACTCCCTATTACATGGAACTCATAACATAAATAGTGAAAAGTGGGTGTTACTTCTGTGTGCACCTCTGCCAACTCCTTCGGGGATAAAAGGCGTGATGGTATGTTTATATGAAAACAAGAACAAGAAGAGCCTTTGATATATACTGATAGGCATTGTCCAGCTTCAAAATATCGTGTTATCTTTGAACAATGGCCTTTCTCATCGTCTCACATTCTGCCTATCTTTGTTGACTAGAGGCGCAACCCACCTACTGTCGGTAAAAATATGTCTGCCGCTTCCGATGAAAGGAGTAAAGCTCTTTGCTTTATTTCGTTTGCCGTATCCTTTGTTTAAAAATTCCAATTTCGACTCAACACTATAGAGTGCAGTCGAAATTGATACGCGTTGCATTGTACTCTCCGCCTTCATGCAAAACTGGACTCTGAGCAGGTTCAAATAAGACTTTATATTGGTCAAGCAGTTACAATGTTTACTTAATTCTGTTCAGCAACATGTACCTATTGTGGTTGGTTGATTCGATGTTAATTAATTGAAATACCAATGAGAACTTAATTGATGTATGCAAAATTATGATGTAGTTTAAATATTGATACGTCTTGCCAAGTATATTGTCTTGTGAAACACTCGCTAATGACTCATTAAGTTTAACCTCCTGTCTAGAGGTATAATATTGTATTAATCTCTGATAGACAGAAACCCCTGAAAACTCGGAGCTGTTACATATTTTGACACAGACAGAACTTGTTATCTAAGAAAACTCAAACCTTGATCCTAACAGTCGGTAATTTTAATTAAATGTTATACTTAGAAATAAATATATCTTTATCTTTAAATATTGACTATATCTCATTCTATTCTATACAGTCTAAAAATTCGGTCTTATAAAATGAAGAAACATTGTTTACTTTAAAATATCATATACATCACAAATTGCGTCGTGTTCTCGTTACTCCAGCCAACTGTACCGTTATAACAAGATCATGTTCCGTGGTTTACATGAGACTACTTTTTGTGTCTGCTTCGATGGCAAAGTTGTAATGAATACGACGTCCAATGTATGTGTACTCGTAAAATCGTTCGTGTATTGCATTGTGTTCCTAAACACACATATTAAGCAAATAAGCTTTATGATGACAGCAGACAATGGAGTAGCTATACCGTTCAGGGTCCGTGGAAAATTTATTGGATGAGCCTTTCTTCACAATATAAAAATGAATAGTTCAGATGAGAATCTCAGAACTGAGGCCCCTTCAGGAGGCGTGGAGTCTGTAATTATGCCACAAACGGTAGGGCAGAGACCGCCTAAATTCTTCCTGCGGGTAGAGCGGAATCAGACTATGAATGAACTGAAGCCAGAAACTTAAACTGCGATCTCTATCCACTTACCAAGCTAGGAAATTATCACAAACCTTTTTATGCGCAAGAAGTGAACTTCTTAGTTAGCTTAGTTCAGTAGTAAACTGTTACGTACAAATAATGATGAAATATCATTCACATATTCGAAGAATAACTTAAAATTTTCTTGCGACACATATTTTATGCATACAGACGTACGTCCTTTTTAAATAAGAACTCAAAAGAAGTCAAGTTTAAGAAATTAAAGTCACGTAAAATCAGACGTATCTAATTTAAAAGTTGATCAAACTAATTTTCTTGTCGATTTAAATGTATGAGGTGAACCTTGTTTTTCGAGGGGAAAATCATACGATGCCTTCTCCCGCCCGGGTGAGGCGAGAGGGAGCGTCAGACTCTTACTGACTAAAAATCACCCTATTCCTATTCGAGTGCCTGCACTTCGAGTCGTCGTCCCAGTAGTCCTCCGCGGCTCCGTATAGGCATCAGCCCTATTGGGCCTCATCTGTGGTGGTCTTATGGCTCTTTGAGGCGCGTGCGGAAATGAGGTGATCCTAAAGACAGTAGAACAGTAACTGTATATTTAAATGTATTTAGTACACTATACGTTAAAACATAACATAGGCAATTTTATCGCCGACAAAACTGTAACATAGAACACAAACATTACTAAACAAATTAATACTAACGTAGATATAACAAGTTAGTGTGACGTCATCACTATTAATAACCAATTACCACACAAACCCGAATAGTTGATAGGAACCGATAAGCGTTGTTAATTGCTAATCGTATGCAAATACATTGAAGATTATATTGCTGTCGATTGAAGGGATTATTGATAATTCTTCGCTTACCTAAATCAGTATTTAGACTGTAGAGGGCTTTAGGATTCTTTATTAGGTACTTTATAAGAATCTGTTTAGAGCCCTAACCTAACTGCTTTAACCTAACAAGGTGTTTTAGTTGTATTTCACAATTTTGTACCATAATCGATTTTATCATCAACAAAGGTATCAAAAATCTTCGTAAGCTAAATAGGACATAATATAACATAACATCACGCTTTTTCCCCCAAGGGGTAGGCAGTGGTGCACATTACGGTACTTAATGCCACTGCATAATATATAACACCCACTTTTCACTATTTATGTTATGAGTCCCATGTAATTAAGAGGTGAGCCTATTGCTATATACCGGGCACATTTCCAGACTCCGTACTACTACTGAGATCTTTTTAAACCCAGTTTTACTTTCCCGACCTTTTTTTTTTTTGAAAATCGAATCCCCTGACGGCAGTCGTACTGGCGGTATTTCGGCCAATGAGGCAGTGAAATATCAATTTCATAACAAAAAAAGATTATACGTGATATCAAACGTCATAAAAATGCTACAACACAAACATGTCAGGAACTTGTAAATAAAATTACAAACTCATCACCACCAACAAAAAACTTCACGAACTTCTAAGATTCCGAACTTCGTGCAGAAACTCGTAAGTAACAAACCAATTAATGAAAAAATATATACATCTGCAGGCCTTATTTTTTCCTTATGTACTTACTTTGGGACGAAGTACAAAGACCGGCCTGGGTTTGAGGACATATAATTTGGCCTGAGGCCCCAAGCTTTACAATTAACGGGCCTCGAATTTTACTTTGTTAAACAACACCTACTTGAGAAACAGTAGAATGGTCTTGAAAATACGAAACCAGTTCAAAAAGTAACCTTATTTTTACTTTCTTTTACAAATTGCAAATATAGGAACTTTAATACTAACAATTATAAAGACAAACATCGTGCGAAACATTAGAACGGTATAAATAAATGTCTAAAATGCCGCCTTAAAACATTTTTTATAACTGGCAGTCAAAGTCAATACTTTTGAAACGTCAGCAAATACATAATGGTCTGTCAGTCAGTTCGTCAGTGAAGCTAGAAGCTAGAAGCTAGGTGCTCATTCCAAAATGTAGATTCGAATGGAGAAGAACGAGCATGAAACTCCATTCGTTACCTACTATTTAGATAGATGCAATCTGCCTGAGTACATTTTTTCAATCTTACTTTTTCTAGAAATAAATCCACGACTAGAAATGGTAAGATTACTACCTGATATTAAATGAAGTCCTTGATTCAGGTCCAATCATAATCGAATAGTTACGGTACTATCAGATTAAATTCTTTTTCAAACTTATAAGAGGCAATTATTTTAAAGTTTGTTACTATGAACCTTATATAGACAAGTTTGTCTATTAAAGTATTGAACTACAAAATACTGAATTTGATTCCCCAGTTGCATAGTTTCTCATATGTATGAGAGAATGTACAAATAAAGTTTATAAGTTCGCATGTATGAGCGAACTTATCGCCTTCCGAGATAAAAGAATCTTCAAAGAATTTACATTTAAAAGTTTAAGTTATTTTTTGCTAAGATGTTCAATTTATTAACAGCTAAAAGGAGAAGCATGCATTACTTGGATATAATCGTTGAATATATCGACAGGCACTTTTTTTTCGATTGCAGCAAAACGCAAAAGGAGGGTTACAAGCGCTGAACTCCATAAATAGCCTCCATGTACTAAAAACACATTTATCTTCATTTTATACTGATTTGCCACCAAAGCTCAGTTTGTGGATACGCAACGGACATGCAACGGATACGCAAATGCATTTTTTTTAAGTTTCTTTCTATGAAGATACGTTGAATAAGAAAATGAGCGTACTTCTTTAAAATACATATACTTTTTGAGTCCATTTTATGTATAGCTGTTTTTCAAATTGTTACAGATGCAGCTACAGACAATATTGAAGAGAAATCTGGTGATATTTATTAAGCAAAATGTAAGTACAAACATCGACAAGTATCGACATTAAATAACATTTGTTCCCAGTAAACAACCACGGCTAGTAATTATGCTAATTAATATGTCCTCTCAATTAACAATGATTTAATTTTGCAGTACGTGATACCGTGTGGTTTTGCTGTTTGTAGCGAATTTGGTGATTGGCAAACAAAAAAATATATACAAAATTGGTAAATTGTAGTCAAAATTTCTTAATTACGAACGTAGCTTACTTTGCTTATCGAAATGTAGACTTTACTCTTTAGATCCGCTTATAGAATGACTCGTTTATTTTGACGCTTAATGAAAAATAAACTATATGCTTTTTAGAATAAGATTGATATTTCTATTAAGGAATAGAACGGTAAGAGCGTTGCTTAATTTTAAGACGGAAACTATACACTAAGATAATACCTCTAGTCTTAGATTAGCTAGGTACTAATTCTAATATACGCACTACGTTTAGAATAACCTAGTTGGTATCTGATTAGAAAACACAAACATAATTTATTAAGATAGGCTTTGAAAAAATAGTGATTTGTCATTTTAAATATCCATACGCCCCAATCATGTCCAATTGTCTATTATTATCACTATTCTGTTAAAGCCAATCAAATATAATAACAGATAATTTATGTAATTATAATTATGTAGAATAACATTCAGAAAAGTTTAGGTTAGGATTAGTAATTTACGTTAACAAAGGAAATATACTATGTCATTGAACTCCATTTCAATTCCCTGAACAATTTAACAAATACAGGTCTCAAATGTTATTCTAAATACATCTAAATAAAATCAACAATTTAAATAGGTACTTCTATTAAAAGTCTCCATAATTATAGTACTACGCAATTTCAAGTAAAAAGCCTTTCAGCTCCACAACCTCGATTATAATAACCACACAGGAGTCATTAGCGTGAATAAATTAGCATAAAATTCAATTAATTCACTACTTAGTGCAGAATCGTTTAAGAAACTCTAGTCTAAGCATCCTCCCCACTTTGTACATAAGTAAAAACAAACAAAACCTGCAAGAACTAAGGAGGTACGTATCTTCTAAATGGTTCGTATTTAGCCAAGTAAGTACATAAGTTTGGTACCTATTATTTGAGTTCCTAATTGAAAGGATTGTAATGAACAATGAAAATGTTGTGGAACTAGCTAAGACGTTTGTCGTAATATAAATATTTGTTTACTTGTATCGTAGGTTTCTAAGTTTCAATATAAATTTAAGTGTGGGAAAGCCATGCTTCGGCACGAATGGGCCGGCTCGACCGGAGTAATACCGGGGCCTCATAGAAAACCGACGTGAAGCAACGCTTGCGTTGTGTTTCGTCATGTGAGTGAGGTTACTGGAGGCCCAATTACCCTACCCTTCCCCAATCTCCCTAATTCCTGAATCCCCAACGATCCTGAAACTCCTAATCCCCAAAAGGCCGGTAACGCACTTGTAACGCCTCTAGTGTTCCAGGTGTCCATGGGCGACGCCGATTGCTTACCATCAGGTGATCCGTCTACACGTTTATCGGCTTATGCTATAAAAAAAATCGATGCTCAATATCAATATAATAGATTTTTAACTTTGAACGTGTTTTCAAACATCATTTCATAGTTGTATGTACAATTTTGTTATGTAAAATGCGGACAATTTTGTCTTTTTTTACAATGAAAAATTTTAAAACTTACATGCTCACTAAATCTACCTACGTAATCCTTGCTAAGAATATAAATCCGACAAAACAAGGATCAGATCTATAGCCACAATCTCACACAAATCCAGACTTACAAACAATCAGAAAGCAATAAAAAGCAACTTTCTTTCGACTTTCACTGTCCCATCGTCAATTCAACCCTCAAGTCTGTCTAATCTTTTCACAACGATGTTCTAAAACCAATAAACAGTACAATAAACAATAAAAAAGTATGTCCGTGTACCATAAAATGGTACGGTACAAGTTTTATGGCCCTTCCGACATGATGCGTCGTTATGTCTCTTCCTTTTAACCGTTTCAACTGTCTTTTATGGCATATCTGACTACACGGGATGATGTAGGTACTAATACATTAATGTTATTTCATCTGGTACAAGATTGTGTACCCTACATTATGTACATAACATCACGCTTTTTATCCCCGAACGGGTAGGCAGAGGTGTACATTATGCAACTGTACAATGTAACAACCACTTTTCACTATTTATGTTATGAGTCCCATGTAGTAGGGGGTGAGCCTATTGCCATATATCGGGCACAATTCCAGACTGCGTGCTACTACTGAGAATTTTTAAAAAATACTTAGCGCGACCCGGGAATTGAGCCCGAGACCCCTTGCCCGGCAGTCGAACTTGCGACCACTCGGCCAATGAGGCAATCGTATATATCGTCATCGTCGACATAATTATGTACTTTTATAGATACCTATACTTATAATAAAATAATGTAAGTAGCAGATAATTACAGAAATATTTTCAATGTGTTTTAAAGCCAAAACAAGTATTCACTTTTGTTTCTTTTAACTTTACAATAATTATTTCTTCGCTACGCTCTTCTTATTTTTATTTCAAAATTAAATAACAATGAATGTACGCTTGTACTCACCATAACGCTTGATACGTTTCTATCGACTTCCTTGGTTACAAAAACCTTTTAAATTGCGAGCAAGTAAATTGCAATGGGGAATCAATATTTGTGTGATATATAGATAGTTGTTAGAGATCGGGATATTCGTGTTTGGATATTCGCCAATACGTAAAACAACGAATAACCCAAACACGGTAGAATTTTTTACACAAAAAAGAAATTTTTGCTTTTGACTCGCAACCAATGCATGTCCGTAAATAAACGCTCCGTTAGAGCTTTGAAATAATCGGGCTCACCTGAAATCAGAAAGATATCAGCTCGTTTAATCTCTCATAAAGTACGTATCAGTTTAGATCCTGTTGGATTCCTCTTTTCGAAGCCAGTGCTGGAATTAATCTAGACTAGAAAAAAAAACAATCTACCGAACATAGTACCTCCTCTTTTTTGAAGTCGGTAATTACTTTCTACATCATACTCATAATGTATTAAAGAGAAATGGGTGTTACGTAATTACGTTAATGTAATAGTTTAGTGCGTAAAGAAAAAGATTTTTTGCTACTATAAGTTCACTTAGTCTCCAGTTAGTATGAAAAATGTTTTGCAATTAATAAACCGGAGGCTATCACATCAAGTAAAGCCTAATAATTTACATTCACGAAACTATTTCAGCCAAGGTCTTCTGGCTGTCCTACAAAATGTTCCTGTCAAAATAGGCCGTTTTATATTGAAATTAATGATGTCGCGTGGGCACTGCGTAGGTACCTAACCCTTTTCGCTTGAAGACAGTTTTTACGACTTACGTAAGCGTGAAACATATGATTTTCAAAGTAAGGGAACCCCTACTGGGAGTTGAGCAATTTTTTTCCGGATTACGTATTACTTTTACACGAAGAGAAAAAAATACTCTTCTTTCTTAGTCTTTCGTAAAATCTTAATCGAATTGTTTTCGATTACTTTAATTTAGGAACTAACAGACTGCATGGTTGGTGCAGTGGCTGGGGGATAGGCTGCCACGCAACGTGTAGTGGAGAAATTCTTTGTGTGATCCACTAAATGTTGTTTCGGGTCTGGGCGTGATGTGTATGTGAACTTTTATGTTTGTAAAAGCACCCACAACACAGGACAAAATCCCTATGTGGGGCAACATTGAAAAAAATCGACTTTTACTGTAAGACTTATATTAAAATAAATTATTGTTACATAAATCAACCAACCAAAAGAATTTCAACTCGAGACCTGTAAATGTTCACTTCGACACACAAGCTAAGAAAACCTACCTATAATCGTAATAACATCACCATCAGAAAAATCGTCCTGAAGATAGGACATTATTATGTTCAAAGTTTTCAAATAATCCCGACATTATCTGACCTCCTTAGCAGAGACCTTCTCAAAGTTTACAACGTTTTGCTTTCATTTATCATTCATTAGACCTCGTTATCTCCAAGTTTTTCTTATTCAAATTAGATGTTAATTCTTTTTTCACATTGATTTTTTACTTCAGACCTCCTTAGTGTACAATCAGGGGTCTTGAGTTTGTTAAAGACAAGGTTTACATAGGACTGTATTTGTTTGGTCAAATGAGCAATGATGACCGTTGGTAATAGGTATTTAGACCTTTTCGAAATGGTTGCTTAAAAGAAATACAAAGAGACCAAAAGGTAGTGGTTTGTAGTACTAATAGGTTCCTATATTTTATGTTAAATAGCTTTTTGGAAGATATAATAAGCGCAAACGTACCTAATAAATAATATAATTGTTTATTAAAATTTTCCTAAAACTAACATGAGACAGACAGACAGAAAAAGAAACCCCCCTTTATTGATTATATTTCTAGACGGTAAAGTTGTCTCCTCTCAAAAGTCAAGTGACAGATATCCGCAATCTCGAAGGTATCAATCGTATCTCTCATATGAGTATTTGAATACTTTAGAAGCAAGTCTGTAAACCATTTGCAATCAATGCATTCTCCGTATTCGATATTAACTCGTCGAGTACCGACATTATAGACACAATTATAGAACAATAGGTTGCGGTCACCGGTGACCGCTTGGTGTTTGACAGTTTAAGTCGACCAATACTACAAAATAAATATTTTTGAAATACCAGTGAAAAGCCAAAACACGATAATATAATAATTAGTAGTATAACATTGTGAACATTTCGATACCCTCGAGTGCCTTCCTGAAAATATAGATCAAGTACTGAAATGTGAACCAAATAGGTCAAACGAAATTCCTTATATTTTATAACTTTCCAAATTTTTTATATAAATGTTTTAATATAAATCCAAATTATTCATCAAATTCGAAATAATTTAAATCAGTACAATCATTGAAAACTTCTACTTGTAGGTAATAATTTTACCCCTTAAAATAACGAGAATAAAATAACTGGGGTTACAAAGTGTTACATA